GTAGTGCTGCGTAAAAAATATTGATATATTTTTTTCTAAATTATTGTGTGTGTGTGTCTGTGTGTGTACGTGCGTGTGTGTGCGTGGTTAAAAAAAAGTTCGATGTAATGCATTGTTTCCCTGCAATCGAGCCACAAGGCTACTGAGTCAGGATGCTGACTCAGTAGGGGACACCCCATTTCATGACGCCACTGGTATCAAGCAAACGATGAGAAGAGATTTCGTCGGTTAGAATAACTATAGAGTGCCCCCTGTGTAATAATACATGCATCTTTAAAATCCGTTAAAGTTCGAAAATTTTCAGGATTTACAAACCATGACCGACTTTAACTAAAGCGAAGCCATAATACAGTGACCAACCGAAAAGTTATCGAACTTTGACTGCTTATATGTCTCTCGTGTGTCCAGAATTTAATTTTAATTTTATATTTTCGAAAAAAGGCATTTTTTTCAATCAAAGGGAAATAACCGATTTTTTCATTAAATAAACTAGCTTCTTCCCGGTAAGTGCCCTTGACGTTATAATCAAATGTTTTAAATGGAGCAGAAACGATTTGTCAAAAGACTATAACCCCACCTGTGGGCCCCATATATACAGAACTTTCACCGTAAGTAAAGAGTAAGACACAAAAAAAAAAACATTTTTAAAATCGTTCAAAGACAGACACAAATACATTCCAACACAACTATTTATTTTTATTATATATATATGTGTGTGTGTGTGTGTGTGTGTGTGCGTGCGTGCGTGCGTGCGTGCGTGTGTGCGTGCGTGCGTGCGTGCGTGTGTGTGTGTGTGTGTGTGTGTGTGTGTGTGTTAGTCGATGTGTATGTGTCATTGTGGGCTTAGGGTTGGTTCTAAGACGAGTCACTAGTGTTGAGATTCTAAATAAAAACAACCGTGACAAATCATTTGAAAATACAGCTGTCCCATTGTATCCACATGCCAACCCTATTATCAAGTGTAAGCCAAAATTAAACGCAAATCTCACGTGTTAATTGAAGTAGTATACAACATCAACTGAGCTGTATGATAATTAAGTAATAAATCTAATTAACTAGAAAACTATTTACTCTTGAGACTAAATTACCCGCTTGAGAATATTTTTTAAACCTACCTGATTACGGAAGGTCAGATTTAAACATATAACTGTCAAAAGTTGAATGTCAATATATATGGAGGCATACAACAAAACATAATGAAATGCTATGTATGGGGAGAAGCATAAAAAAACGTAATGAAAAGCTTCGGTTGAAGTTACAGAAATTGATATATTTAATCATTATTGAATAGAAGTTGAAATTTATACTGATTGTAGCCGTATTCGAAATGGTGAATTCATCCATGTGACTACCAATCTGCACCATACTATTTCTCGCTTGTTTTTATTGTACACTAGGCATTCTGCCAATAGCAACGGCCAATAGAGAAAGATATTAAGGCCCGAAAATGGGGATGGATCGGACACACATTAAGAAAAGAAAAAGAAAACATCGCAAAGCATGCATTGGACTGGAATCCCCAGAGGAAAAGGAGGGTGGGCCGGCCAAAGAAAACATGGAAGAGAACGGTTGAGGAAGAGGCAAAAACAGCTGGGCTCTCATGGGCACAGATCAGAGGAGCAGCCCAAAACCGAGTCCGCTGGAGATGTGTGGTTGCAGCCCTTTGCTCACCAGGGGCAATAAAGGAGTGATGATGATGATGATGAGGCATTCTGCCTAGCTTCGCTTAGGTTTACAAAAAAACTAATGAGAGTTTTAAACATGAATTAATTGGTGTTTGCCTGTTATATGGAGTTCTTAGGGCTTAAGCTTAAACAGTCTGAGTATATTCATGTCATGAAAGCATTGGTGTATTCGTAAACGTATAACTCGCAAGGTAATTAGAACTGCAAAGGCTACATTAATAGTAAAAATCATATATTATACTAAATTTATCGTTACAATTAATTTTTACAATTTCAGTAAAATAAATAACTAAATGTATAACGAAATATTTATTTAAACGAATGCTATACATTGTGGTTTTTGTTTTTTCTATGAAACGAGCCGACCCGCAGCGTATCATACGCCGCTATTTAGTTGTTTTATTTTCTACTTTTCAGTAATTCATAATTTGTGAATTCGACAGTACCAATGCTGCCACTGAAAATATTTGCTTTTAAACATTAACCCCCCCCCCTTTCCCCTAACCCCGTGAAAGCAGCCACCTCTTAGTTATTTTTTAGTTACCTCCTGTAAGTTTAAAATCGAACTAAATTATCTGCCCCTAATAGAAACCCGGCTCTACGGCTCTACGATTTGTAAACATTTAGCTTTGTAAACATTTAGCGTGACCACAACTCACCAGACAATGTGGGGGTGGGGTGGGGGTGGTAGTGATAGTGATAGTGATAGAGAGAAAGAGAGGGGCTGCAAGGAGGCGCTTGCAGCTTGTTTTCTAACGGTTCCCAGAAGAGAATTATATATATAGATAGTATACAAAAATGATTACTTTAATACGTTACCTCCCCTGTACATAGACAGAATGACGTATTCTTTGTTTACTTTTTCACAAACAATGTTTTATATAAGAAAATATCGAATCTCGACAAATCTAATGACCCTAAGGGTTTTTTTTCCGACGCAAATAAAGTGTTTTTGTTCCTTTCGGGGTCGGTCTACGACCCTCACTAAATATTAGGGGGATCGTTCGTCAATTTATTTATAGATATCTCATATTAGGGGAATTTTACTCGCGGTCATTTTATAGCCCTCGTCGAGGGGTTTTAGTCAAACCGACAGTTATTCCATACGGCTTAATCATCTATAGAGGGAAAAAAAATTAGCCAGATGTACAGAGATTAAATACCCTAAAATTTGTATTGAACTTATTCTCTTTTTCATATAAAATACAAAGATTATATAGGGAAATACGACTGGTCAGTTTTGACCACTTTACGAAGTTTTCGCAGATATGTCGAGTTTTTTATGACACCCCTAGGCGTTCTGTTACCACCTCACAAAATATCAAGAGGGTCGTTCGCGGTCAGTTTTGACCCCTTCTCTCTGGCTTCTGCGGCCAACCGGCACCGGCCTTGGTGGTTTCTCGCCCCAGGGCAGGATCGTGCCAAATTTGAATCGCCTACAACGCCGGGAAGTGCCCTATCGGGCACCAATTTTGCTTTATTGATCTCTATACATAGTTTATCAATATATACAATGTTGATTTTTTTTTAGTTCCTATTGCTTTAATGCATCATGTGATAAAATATGCAATGAATAAGTGTGACATCTAGACGTGTGAAAATTTAGAGGCAGTAGTCAGTGACAACATAATCATAATGACCAACACATTGAAAATGTTTGAATGCAAATGTTTAGAGAGAAAATAAACATAAATCTACAACAGTAAAATTTTAACTAAAAAATATTTAGAGAAATCATCTTTGTTTGGGTAGATTATGATATTTTAAATATGGAACAATTGCACACAGACACTTATTGTATGTTTATTCATAAATATCATAAGATAAAGATTCTTTTACCCTGAAAGATTCTGCCAGGAGGAACTTTAAAAAAATTGAAATAATGTGGTTTTATAGCAGAAGGCATTATTTAACCACATAAGTCCAGCTTTAAGTAAACAAACATTCAATGTGTCAGAATAATGTTTTAATAAAGATACATTTTTTTTAAAGTTTCATTCAACTTATTATAACATCCCTTGCCATAATATTTATAAAACAGAAATGACTATAAAAGACTTTTCTTTATTCATGCATTCAGCAATATCTTCAGTTCTCCCCTTTTATCTTTAGCAACAACATCATCTCCACCCCCAACACATTTCTGATGGATAAACACTCTTGGTACCGATCTTGCACCAGTAAGTTTGTGTAGGTAATCCTGAATATCAGAACAGTTGGTTAATTCGTTAATTTTAATATCTTCATAGTCATCATTCTCCTATATATTTAGAAAACGTATTCTTCGCTTTGCTACAATACAGCCCTGTTTAGAGAAAATCATTACTTTCTTGATGGCAATTTTGGAATCCACAAATGATTTTGCATCACCCATTTTAAACAGTTGATATAATGCTTGCATCAGTTCTCAAGTGCCGAGTTCAGTCTCCTACCACACCTATGGAGGTTAAAAAAAACAAAAACAAAAACACAAGGTTGATAAAATATTTTTGAACTACACCGCAATGTTGTCCAAAGTATTATTCTAAAGCTGTTTGCATTTAAATATAGATACAAAAATTAATACAGCTAACGTTTGTAATATGTCAATTTAAAGCAAAATTATTATTTTGTAATTGACGAATTTAACAATTATAACAATAAACTATAAAATAAGAAAATTTAATTTACATACATTTGCATTATGTATTCTACAACTTTACTATAATTATTTGTCTAAATGTTACGTATTTTTTAATACCTTTAGGAATTTTAGATCTTGGTTGTTTCCCTTGTTAAGTTATTTTTTTACAATGGAAGGGGATTTTTCACTAACTGATTTCAAAGATATTCAATAACATAATGCTAAATTAATGTATGTATAATATATATATATATATATATATATATATATATATATATATATATATATATATATATATATATATATATATATATATATATATATATATATATATATATATATATGTATATATGTGTGTATGTGTGTGCATATGTGTGTGGTTTAGTGTGTAGTGTGTGATTGTGTGTGTGCTTGTGTATGTGCTTGTGTTTGTTGAATAGCACTAGATGTGGTACGCCATCCAACTTAAATAGAAAAAAAATATTTATATATTCCATTTCTTTAGCAAAAACATAGCCTGTCGTACCAGCGCTAAAAAATGAAAACCAATTTTCCGTGAAATGCTTTAAGCACACACCATTCTACAAAGATAACAGCGTTGACCTCTGACCCGTGTCATGCCTAACACACGAAACCTGGTTTTCCCTAAGTTGTCGTCTGCTAACCACAAAAGAAGTGTGTTCTCTGTTAACTTTACTAGGAAATTTACCAGTAGCTTCAGTTTCGGTTCGCTTTGTTTTCTCACATCAGCATGTCATGTGTTACTCTTAAATCTTTGTGGAGATTGTCTTATCGAATCACGTGAACTTGATTTCGTGAGTATATAACAAAGTGGTAGGAAGTTTGAGTTAAAGTCAGGATATGAGACATGTTGTTTACGTATTCGGAAGTGAATCAATCAAGTAAAATTTTTCATAGAAAAAACAAGGGAGGTAAAATTGTTGAAATTGTTTTGAAGATGTTAGTTAAGGACAGATAACTAACGCATTCAAGAGGAAGTAATTTATACTCACAGTTTTTACCATTTCGTTTTGTGTTTTCGTAGATGCTTGCTGGTGTTTTCTTAAATTTGTTTAAAGTTTTACTGTGATTGCATGCTTTAATAATGATATTTCTAGTCGTTTATACTTTAAAATCAGTTTGCAGTAAAAAGAAACATAAAAATGATTACAAATGTATATTGTCACGACTTTATATAGTGACTAGTTGAGAAGGAATTAAATTTAACTATACGTTTCTGATATCCACGACAAGAAATATTATACGGACGCGGTATGTAATCGTTACATTTTTTTTTTACTGTTTTGATTGTCTATTGAATGTCAGTAAATTGCCATTAGAATGTCAGGGAACGCTTCATTAAAACCAGTGTTATCTGAATTGTCAGCGATGATGGCATTAAAACCTAAAACAACTAATCAGTCATTGACACTGCCACTTAAACCAGCGACATCTACAATGTCAACTAAAATGCCGTTAAAACCTGCGGCATCCAAAATCCATGAAATGTATGACGACATTTACAGCAATTCCAGTTTTATCGAAGAGGATGACATTCAGGATGACATGTCGGATGCCATTTCCGAAGAAGACACGACGTCCGTGCAGGTGTATTTCGACAACGTCACTTACTCGGAAGACGAGCTCGACTCCTGTGACGCCGACGATCAGTGGACGGAGTCGGCGTCCGTCGTTCGAAACCGACGCAGCGTGGCGTCCTATCTAAGCCTGGTGGACACGCCCCTTTCGGTGCTTCCGGGGTCGAGCGACAACTTGCACCGGATATGCCACTCCCTGCCTCCTTGCACGACGCCGCTGAGAGATGCTCACGCGTACAACCCGCCCCGCCCTGCAAGGTGTGGCCCATACAGGGATGGATCTCATTACGAAGCTCCTTCACTGCTCTACAACCACGATTCCAACCCACATTCGTATCCAACCACTACACCGTTGCCCCCGACAACCGAACAACCATTACGTTCAACACCATCCGGCGAGACCCCACCCCACTACGCTTACATTTACCACGACCCCGTCGACAAAAACTACAAAATCCGCATCTTCAGCAAGCATTTCTTAATCGCCTGCACCGTCGTCTCGATCCTGCTCAACATCGCTTCCGGTTACTGCCTGGTTGCCATGGTGATGAAGATGAGCAACGGCACCGCGGAGGAGGCGACTTTCCCTGAAGGATCCTACGAGATTTGTGTCAGCTGCGACAAGCTCGGCTATAAGGAGACGACAGTGTACCGAGTTGACAACGGCGTGACAAAGTGCTGTGTCAGTGACAGCCTGCAGATGTCAAGGTTATTTAAGCAGGTGAGTTGAGCTATAACGCCGAGACTATACGTGTATGGGACGGCGTGGCCTAGCGGTAGAGCGCTAGACCGCTAACCCGAAAATGTCGAGTTTGAATCCGGGTTCAAGTCAGTAAAACCTACTCAAGTACACCTAGCTCTGTTGAGTACGTAACTCAAGTTAGGGAAAGTAAAAGCGGTTTGGCATGAGTTTAGAGACACAGGTGAACTCTACTTCACTTGACCCATGGACCGTCAGGTTCGAAAAGAGAACTTAACTTTCCACTACACGTAAATTAACTATGTCACTTTACTTTATACTATACGTGTATGAACTTTGCCCTTATACATACAGCAATACAAAAACGTTCAATTCATTTTGTAGTTTTAGTTTGGTATTTTACACACCAACACACACATCCTTATGAGACGCATAGTTCATTTCCCTGACACGACAAACATCACTTGAAGTGAAGCGATACAACACTTCAAATTACTGACTCATCATTTGAGTGATATGTCACTTGCATTAAGGCATCAGTTCAAGGATGGTACCATGTAAATAGCCAGGATCATTGAACAGGCACATCGTAGTGATGTCATTAATGGCACATCGTAGTGAAGTTATTGATGACACATCGTGGTAATATCATTGATGACACATCGTAGTGATGTCATTGATGACACATCCTGCAGTATAAGGCGAAGTCCTTACATCTTTTGACACGCCCTAACCGCTGACATCACATCAATTGGCATGTCACGTGCACTAAGATGTCATAATTACTGACACATTATATCCAGTGACATGTCATATTCACTGACACCCTACTTCAAATGACATGTCCTAACTACTGACACCACATCAAATGACATGCCCTAACTACATGCATATACATGTCATATTCACTGACACCCTACTTCAAATGACATGCCCTAACTACTGACACTACCATCAAATGACATGCCCAACTACATGCATATACATGTCATATTCACTGACACATTATATCCAGTGACATGTCATATTCACTGACACCCTACTTCAAATGACATGCCCTAACTACTGACACTACCATCAAATGACATGCCCTAACTACATGCATATACATGTCATATTCACTGACACACCACGTCCACTGACACGAAATAAACTGACAAATCACACCCATTGATATATCACATCCCCTGACATCGTATGTCATGATTTATTCACACTCTTGATGACCCTCATACATAATGACAATCATTCAATCATACACATCAGAAACCGTTCATTCATTGGACTTTTTAAGCACTCGACTTTTCTTAAAACCCTGTATTACATATAGCAAACATTTTAATAGTGATTTTATTTTTATTTTAGATGATACAGACCACACCTTTGGAAACAGGTCAGTATTTTATGCTCCAAGTTATATTTTTAGCACATATTTATTTAACTGGTAAATAATGTGTTATTGTGTACACGTGTGTACATGATTGCACACTAGTTTTGTTTTTGTTGTATGGGCTTACTTAAACACCTGTTCATCTTATCCAAACTTGTATGGACCAGATTATTAAGAGAGCTATTGATTTTTTTCTAGGGTTAATTTTAAATTTAATGAAGTAAGAGGTTTAGATGATTCTTAAGACGTACGAGCAGTGTTTCTTCCAAACTTTTTTTTCTCCGGGGGTGCACTTGAAATTTTCGGGGGGTGGGGGGGGGGACGGACAACAATTTCCGGTGGGGGGGGGGGGGCGGACACTGTCAAAAGTATATATCTTCTATATAAATTCCATTTCGTTCGGGGGGGGGTTGGGCGGTAGAGATGCCTGGAAGAAACTCTGCTTAGGAGAAATGATCGTTTCTCCTAATACAAGCGCTGCATCTATTAAGATACGCTATAGATTTAACGGTCAATAAGGTAGAAAAAGTAGAATTCACTCTTTTCCTTGATCTCGGCATATGAAGAGTTAGCGCGGTCATTTGTGTGCCCAGTCGTATAACAAAAAATTAAGAATATTGTGTTATTGTAGACCGACCAGCGGATGAAAGTTTAAAGTTTTTAAACTGCGACACAGTGCAAGTGACAACCAGTATTCCTGTGTCACAACAAAACAGAGAAGGTTGGCGTTCCGTTTTATTTTAACATTCCCGGTGTGCTTTGGTCTAGTTTTGTCAAGAATAGTCAACACACACGGAAACTTCACTAGTTAACACACAGAAACTTGAGCAGTTAACACACAGAAACTTGAGAAGTTAACACACAGAAACTTGAGAAGTTAACAAACAGAAACATGAGTAGTTAACACACAGAAACATGAGTAGTTAATACACAGAAACTTGAGTAGTTAACACACAGAAACTTGAGAAGTTAACAAACAGAAACATGAGTAGTTAACACACAGAAACATGAGTAGTTAACACAGAAACTTGAGTAGTTAACACACAGAAACTTGAGTAGTTAACACAGAAACTTGAGTAGTTAACACACAGAAACTTGAGTAGTTAACACACAGTAATTTGAGTAGTTAACACACAGTAACTTGAGTAGTTAACACAGAAACTTGAGTAGTTAACACACAGTAACTTGAGTAGTTAACTCATAGAAACTTGACTTAAACAGGAAATATCAAATTTAAATGTGTTCATGTAAAGGAGGTCGTGTTTTGATGTTGCTGTGGTAGTAGATATTATTAAGTTACTAAACCCAATTTTTAAAAAAACTAAAACAATGATTAAGGATGTGAAACGCCATCTACTACACACAGTGGCGTCACAAGGCGGGGTGTCACAGGTACCGGAAATTAGTGTGTGACACCTCCCTCTCCCCCCTCCCCCTACCCCTCGAGAACATTTTTCGTTGGTTTTTTTTTTTTTTTTTTTTTTTTTTTTTTTTTCATTTTGTGGTACTCCCTACCATTGCATTAAATAAACGGGATTAAAAAAAGTATTTTTTTTTCAATTTAGTGCTAAACTACAATAGTGGACTTTGTAACGAAGCTCACCTCTACTTCACCTGTACAACATCGCTCCTGTCACTCTCCTCCAACTTCATCTACACCGCCGCTACATAAGATTCTTACAACACATCTTGAAGAAACGCCTACCCCCTTTCAAATCAGCTCTTCTTGAAATAATCCCACCCCATGTATGCTATTAAAAAATCACCTCAACATCTTAGCAAATTATATCTAAATCCGCAACAAATGTATAAAACATACGAATATGATACATCAGCTTCTTACAACACATCTTGAAGAAACTCCCGTAACCTCCTCCTCTCCTAACTACTCCCTTTCTTCTTCTTCTTCTTCGTTCTTAATTTTAGTGTTGGAAGGGATTTCCTCTAACACAGTTAAGTATCCGTATCAACTGATTATGCGCCCTTCCCCCTTTCAAATCTTGAAATAATCCCTCCCCACTTATGCTATTAAAACATCACCTCAAGCAAATTATATCTAAACCCGCAACGAGTGTATAAAACATACGTATATGATACAGATACACTTTTGTTATTTTTATTTCTCTTATTTCAAATCTACAGAGAACGTACCAAATAGTAGGCCTGTGACGCCAAATACACATCAATATTTTACATCGGTACACAAAGGTAAGTAACTTTGCTGTTTTTGTTTTGTGTTTACCTCAATATAAGCCAATTTATTTTTTATTTCTTTCTATTACCATTTAGTTAGATATTGATATACCTAGCAAACTTTTCTATTAAAGAACACTTAAAGCAAAAACACCAGTAAACGGTACTCTACGTTTTTTTTTAATTCGACAATCTAAGATTAGTGCGTAACGAATTATATGCGTGATTATTTAGGCTGTATGATTATATTAGGCCTCCGCATCTGGGAATTATAGTAAACAGTTCAATTTTTGTTTAATCAATTTTTTTAATTCTGAAAACGTGTTGTAATGTAGGCTGCGGATTGTGTAAACTCTCAGGTGAACTAGTTAAACAATATCTAGATAAAGAACTACAGACGTTAAAATACACTCGTTTCGAAACACTTCAGCAAGTATACATATATCTTAGCAGTCTAGTAATTGTCTGTTCCTAATTTAAACTGAGCTATTTTTAGTTGATTACAGTTAAATTACTCCCAGTTTCAATACACACATTGTGTCATGATCTTACGTAAATTTTGGCTTTAGTGAAAACAGTCAAACTAATATTTTCTTGTTAAATACTCCCTTTAATCGGGTTGCGAAACCTAAAGCCTTGGAAGAATATACATGTGTGTTTTTAATGCATTTCTTGACATGCAAAAAAAAGCAAAATTGTATACAGTGGACACTATGGAACCAGCTGGATGACCTGGAATTTACTGACCACATGGCCCTTTTTTCTGACACACAACAGCTATTGTAAGATAAGACCAACAGGGTTGCTAAATTGTTGTCTCATAAAGATCCCTCGAATACGCTTTCCTTACGCCATAAAGAATAAGGTACTAAGACAACGGACACACTAACTGCCAACTGATGAAGAGATTCTTCAGAAAAAATGGGAATGGATTGGCCACACACTCAGGAAGCCTGTATCCAGCATAACAAGACAGGCCCTCACCTGGAATCAACAGGACAGGAGGAGGAGAGGCAGACCAAGAAATACCTGGAGACGTGACCTGGAAGAAGACACCAAGAAGATTTGATACACTTGGGGACAGTTGGAGAGACCAGCCCAAGACAGAGACGCCTGGAATGCACATGTCAGCCGCCTATGTCCCAGGAGCGGTGACATGCTCCCATTTATCTATCTTTTGATGGTTCTTGTCATATCAACAACCACAGTTGTAATGACCTGTTCACTTTAACAAAACATATCTGACAACAGTCTCATAAATTAAACCTTACGGTCTACATGTTGTTGAGCACAACTATACGCTTCAGAATAATCAGACCAAATGCATCGGATACGATTCACGCGCTTGCGTCCATAATACTTCACGTGACTAAATTCATTCAGATTGCATGGGTACATCATTGATTGAGTACATCATTGATTGGGTACATCATTGATTGGGTACATCATTGATTGGGTACATCATTGGTTGGGTACATCATTGATTGGGTACATCACTGAATGGTTAAATCATTGAAATAGTTAGAAGTAGAGACGATAAGATAAAGCAACAGATCAGCTCTACTCCACCTACCCCGTTGTATCCTAATTCCGTAGATTCCCTGCACGAGCTTGTCATGGGGATGCAAACGGTTAGTCGAAGTGACGAAAACCCAGTCGCCGTGTACCGCGACCACGTCAGTGTGACGTCATCAGGGTGGTATTACGTCTACTCTGGCGTCACACAGAACAACGCCACCTGCAGCCATGTTGTAAATAAGGTAACATTTAATATACGGTCTTATAAAGGTTTTAGAACTTAGGGGGGGGGGATGGAGATATTATTGGGGATTTAATGGGACGGAGTTTATTTCAGTCATTTTCATTTGGAAGGGGGAGTGCGGCACTTTAATTCAAAATTGCGTAAAGAAAGAACGGTTACAGTATGTTTTATTTAAAATTAAATGTTTTTTTTTAATTTGCTCCGGAGAAAGTGGGTGTGCTCTGGTTGGAAACTGCCCCCCTCCCACCCACCCATCCCGGAGAGCTACCGGAAACAATATAAGATTACACGGGATTGTTATACTTCTGATTAGATTAACCCGTAAGATGGGGTTTAGAGCTTGACTTGAGCTCTACTATCTTTTGAAAGATGTGTTGGTTTATGTCTTTAGAAGGGACGGCCAAGTATGTGTATGTTTAATTTAGGTGTTACAAGTCTATATTAATTTCATTTTTTAACAGGGACTCAGACTGGAATTGTTTAATGTCGATAACAGACACGTAGATTTGTTGTCACTATGTTGAGTTATACTTTGTTTATTTTTTTCACTATGAAAGACGTGGCACCACAGAATTGTTCTGGCACCGGGTGAGACGCTCGTCAATGCTACGAGAACGTGCTGTGATGATTGTAACCCTAACATGCAGTCCAGTTATACAGGTAAGACGTGTGGTAGGTGTACACAGGTGAAGTGTAATAGATGTAATACGCATAGTATTTTGAGGGTAAGTTGTGTGGTAGATGTAGGTGTATACAGGTTATTTTAATGGTGATGTGTAAAAGAAGGAGGGGGGGGGGCGGAGGTTCGCACGGTATTTTGAAGATAAGTATTGTGTGGTAGATGTAGGTTTAGTTGAGATTTTTTCGCTAAGAAAATAAGACTTATTTTACATTTTACATTTAGTTTACTTAATTAACAACATTTGCAAAACTCATTATCTGCGACATAAGATTGTATTTTATCAGTTACAAATGACCCACTTATAACAATCTGGATAACCATCTTGGTGTTTGTTTTCTACAGGTGGCCTGTTTTACCTGAAAGAAGGAAGCAACGTTTCTGTGATCTTGTCTGAAGTGAAAAATATCGAGGTGAACTTTACAGACTCCTACCTTGGCCTTGTACGGCTGGCAATTGATTGGGGGTATTAGTACAAGTTGGTGTAAAGTGCTCCATTTGTACAGGCGTCCATCTTATACTAGAGTCGTGTCGTGACTTGGCACCTTGTGAATCCCAATGATCACCAGAGCTATAGGGCTGGTAAGTAGGTCATCAACCAGTTCTACGGCTCAATAAAACCTGCATGAGCCATAGAACTGGTTGGTGACCTACTTACCAGCCCCATACCAGCGGGAACAAAATTTCGTGACATAACCCCACAAAACTATACCAGCGGGGGTGTAGGTTCAACCAAGCTGGAAGTTGTGCATGGGTAGTGATCAGACCAAAGCTAACACTCTTGTCCTCGGGAAGTAAGTCAGCAACAACCTTATAACATTCAAAGAAAAACCGCTACATAAACTAAAACATGCCCACGTTTTCAAATTAAGTTCAGATGATATAACAGGAATTGTACCTCATTGACGCCTTAAAAAATAAAACAGGAAAGTCCGAGTGAGATGTGGAGGTGAACAACCGAAAAACAATTGACAAGAGCGGGACTATTTTCGGGAACTGCAAAGAAAGTTGCTAAAGACCGGCAAAACTGGACAAATCTTATTGTGGCCGATCTATGTGTATCGAGCACCAGACAGAAAAGATGAGGATGATTAGGTCTAATTATAACACTGAGATTAATTAATGAGATATAAAGCAATCCTGTTTTTTCAAAAATGGCAATAATCAAATAATGTTTATACCTCAACAGTTCTACTAAAACATTAGATTTGCGTCGAATATGGCTATTTTTGTTGCTGTTTACATCAGGTCCCAAGAAGGTGGCCAGCCGAACCGGATGTCACCCCATCTAGTGACGTCACTGACTGTCCGACTTTTTTTGTTACCGAACCTCTTTTACTGCTGGATATCTAGTACTGTCTCTAGTTAGTCATTAACTCTCGAATAAAAATAATTTTAGTACGCTAGATTAGAAACGAAACAAACTCTACAGTTTAAAGCAAAGACAAGATTAAATCAACTAAATGAATTCAGATATGTGTTTGTTCTTTTTTTTTTATCGTTCTTAATTTTTAAAGTTGAGAGGGATTTCCTCCAACACAATTAAGTATTGCGTGTCGAATTTTTATGTGCCATTTAACTCCGATCTCAGCCTGCTTTTTATTTTGGATTTACTTCCATAGCAAATGTCCAACCAAGAACATCTACTTGGGGGTTCGAACTCGAGACTTCGCGATCTACCAATCCTGAGCTTTACCGATTCGACCACGCCTGCCTCTATTTACTGTTGAATTACAACGGGCTGCGTAAATCTGGACTATAAAAAGATTTGCCTTGATCAAAATATCTAAGTCCTGAAAGGTTTAACCAAGTTTTCTGCATTTGATTGATGATTGATTGAATTAGCGACGTCGGAGTCTTAAAGTAATTGGATTTTTACATATACATGTAAAATAATACAAACGTATGCTATAAAAGAACCTAAAGCATGGATAATGTACCTTTATGGTCTACATACAAGAGAAAGCAAACAAAAGAATTTCGCAATGTGTTGATCACATAACCTGTCAAAAGAAACTGGACAACTTTGCCTGGATCTAACATGTATTCTAAACTACACCTTCGAATTACTACCATTCTCATTAATCTAATACATTAGGATTATGCTTCTCTCTGTTTGTGTTTGTAAAAATTGAGCCATAATTATTTTCTCTATTTTTACTTACTAATATACGAAGTATAGATTACGGATTGTAATCGTGCAAAAAAATAGAAATCCAGATGTGCACAAATCTTTACAAATACCCTGAGTCTGAACAATTAGTTTTTCAATTTTGTCAGTATGTCTTTGTGTGTGTGTGTGTGTGTGTGTGTGTGTGTGTGTGTGCGTGTGTGCGTGCGTGCTTGCGTGCGTACGAGCATGCTAGCCTCTGGCCAATAGAAAACGGGGACAAATGCCCATCGGTCATGAAGCCCACAAAGAGAGGATCAAATTTGACATCGACTGACCAGCGCATAACAGGAGCTACATATTGAAAACAAATTACCATGTAGGGGCCCTATCATAAATTCTCGAGGTTGTAGAACTACCCGCGGGGTTATAAAAAAAAATAGGCGTTATCTTTGGGAAAAGTTCTGAAGGCCTTGAGAAGTGAAAAGTCCGAATTCTCTATAGCAACGTTGTTAATTTGGTCAAAAAAAGATGACTATTTGCAAAATAATTTTAAGGGACATTGGGCTCTGCACATCTGGCTAATTTTTTCCATAGACGTTGGTAAATAAATCGACCTTATGGATAAATGTCACGGCTTGGGCTAAACACTGACTGAACCTGCGAGTAAAGTTATTTTAATATTAGACAAATGTCTTTTGATCCAAGAAAAAACGTGTCATATTCAGGAAAAATAGGTAAAGCTGTCAAAACTGACAAGTCTTATTTCACGAAAAAACATTGTAGTTTACGTGAAAAACAAAGGGGGAGTTTCATAAAGATTGTATGTTACTTACCCTCTGTACATCTGGCTAATGTTTTACATACAACTCGATAAATGGCTAGGACGAATGATGAAACTGTCGGTCAAAATCTAAGCCATGGTCTCCAAACTTTTCAGTCCGAGGGCCGCATTAACTATCACATTTCAGTTCGGAGGCCAGTTTCTTCCAGGCATTTCTGATTTTTCTGAGCAAAGTTCCTCAGCCATCACCAACACACGTTTTTACAAAAAGATCTCCGCGGGCCGGATGAGAGGACCTCGCGGGCCGCATCCGGCCCGCGGGCCGTAGTTTGGAGACCCCTGTTCTAAGCCATCAATTAGGGCTAGAACGTGACCACGAGTGGAATTCTTCTTACACGTGCTATAATCAAAAATTAATTTTGCTCTAGGGCCCCTATGCCGCTCCGCTTGGTCGTAGACCGAAAAGGCGGGGCAACAAAAAAAAAAAAACGTTCTGCCTGTAGAAAATTCTCTTAGAACAATTAGATAGGACCAAATGCCATTTTTCTTTTTTAAACATATAATCTTTTTGTAAAACAATTGTGAACAAAGATAACATCGTTCGATCTAAGTACAAGGGAGGTAACTTTTAAAGTAATAATATATCATTCATTTGTATACTATTTTAAACAAATACAGACAATGACAAAGTTTCGTTGAGTTAAACTATCAAGAAAGCCTCTGTACGTCTAATTACCTTGTCAGTAATAAGTTTGCGATTTTTCAACGAGCGTTTCTCTAAATTAAAATTATTGTTCACTATATAACAGCCAATCACCAATTAAATAATCATTCCAATTCTCAAACGTTCTATTGAAAAACCTTGAAAGGTGGCAGTATGCCAAGTAAATTTTTATTTTTAACGATTACATTGCCTTTCTTTATAAAATACTAATGTTCCGCACTATTATACACAGATTATTTTCTTTTCATTTGGTACGCAGTTCTTTTTTTTCTACGAGATTACATTCTATTTAAAAAAACTTAAGTTAAGTATTTGAAAATTGATTTTTTTGATAATGTGTAAATAACGACTGCACTGGAGTTGCTATAAGCATAGTATAATTATTTTAGAGAAAGTTTAGGGAAGGTCACTCTATTTTGAAAACACATAGAAGTAAGCTGGCTAGTTTTTATTAAAGGAAACCCACTTCAAGTTTTTAATTATTTTTTTTCCAAATTTTGTATGGTGAAATATCATTAAATTTAATTATTGTAATGGTATTTCACCATACACAATTTCGACAGACAGACAAACTGACAGACAGACGGACAGACAAGCGAGTTTGCAACTGTGTGTGTGTCATCACATTTATGAAATAACGAATTATTAAAATGTGCGGTTACGAAACAAATCAATATTTTAAAACTAGGCACATAATGGGCACGTTTACTTGCGTAAAACTGGTGTAAATTATCCCACCTGTATGGGATTATAGACACCGCAGCTGCTGAAGTAATCAGCCAACATAAGCTCATGTCAATGTAGTTCATTGATAGGTTTGAGTTCTATAACATAAGACAAGACTTATTGTCAATCTTTTCATTTTTAAGTTGTTTTTTTTTTATTTTCTCGTATATACGAAGTATAGAAAAGTCTTGTAACCGTGCAAAAATAAAAATATAAAATTACAGGGGATGGCAACTCGGGATATAGACCTTATTTTTAATCCAGATTAAATACTTAAACTTTTTAAAATAAAATAAAAGCTCGTAGAAAAAAGAATTGCACACCAAGTGAACGGCACACAAAATGTGCATAATAGTGCAGAGTATTATTAGTACTTTATAAATGAACATGTGTTGTTGTTTTTTGTTTTTTTTTGAGAAATCGGAAATAGCGTAAATTACTACTTTCATTCAACCCAAATTGCTTAAAATTTGAAAGAAGGCAGAGAATTAGATCTTTTCCTAACCTGTAAAATTTCATTTATCTTTCCGAAATAGTACTCAAGTTATAGGCTTTTGAAAAATTCAAAGGTAGAAAAAGTTCCACTGCCGGTTATCGGAAATCACTTAAAAATTAATACGGATCTACGATCACAAAGATGACAGTTTCGAGCATCACGTTAAACAGATTCCTTACTTTGGTTATGGCAGAAATGTTCATATCAGCGAAATCCTTACAACATAAAGATCATGACTTCACCATCCAAGGAAAGTTTTTTATGTATTGTTAGCTCCGCTAGTTATCAATGCGTTTACCTTTCAAACTACATCTAAAAAAGCAATTTATGTTGGACTTTTAATATTTTGATCTTTAATAATTTAAAATGTCTTTAAATTTTAATAAAACTTTTGTTTGGTTCTGCAAGTATGTATTATCACTCTTGGTAGTTTGAAATTAAAATTTGCTAATTATTTTTGTTTCGCTGAATTTCATTTTTTGGAGTGCGTTAATCTAAGGTGTTATGCTAACTGTTTTTAAATTTTACTAAGAAGTTTAGTCTTTTTAATTTACCTGCAGAAAAAAATTTTTGCATTTCTAAACTATTTCCACACGTAGTACAAAATCATCGCTGAGAATTGTAAAATAACAGAAAATTCTATGATAGCTTATACATACCAGCAATCAATGCTTTAACGCTAGAGAAAATATTTTTATACGGAGGCTTCTTCTATTGAAGACCATTCACATTTCATATCCCGCAGACTGGCAGTAATGGTATAGAAAATACGACATAATAGCTACCCACCTAGGAGAGAACACTCTAAAATCAAACAATTGCTGCAATGCATATATTCCTTGGATGGACAAAGGCTATAGGTACACTTCTAACAATAAAGAGGTAGGCTGAAATCTGGGTCAACGGGACATATTTAGAATAACACATTGACACGTGATACTTAATTGCGTTTGAGGAGAATCCCACTATATACAATTAGGAACGAATAAGAAGATAAAAATCATTTTAAACGGCTATTGAATCAATACAGAAAAAACGTACAACTACACTAAAACTACAATAAATAAGTTAAAACATAAGAATACATATGATTAATATGTTAACTTAACATCCAATTTCCTTTTGCAATCTAAAAATATAGAAGCAGAGAAGTTAAAAATCATTAAAGTATTTAACTGAGCACGTACATATAAAACAGAACATAATTTCAACACTATATCAAACATTTAAAACAAAAACACTATCAAATATATAAATCTCAATGGATAGGCAAGCTATCAAATAACTCAAATGCTTGAGACTATCGCTATTACATCTACCATAATTTGATTGCATATAGCGTCAAAAATACTTTACATACATCAAATTTGTTTTTAGTAAAATTACCAAGTCATAACCACATATCTATGACCTAGAAACAGACCACCACAGAATCAACGAATAACATTAATTAATAATTGCATCATGTACATGAATATTATTCACAATTTTAAACATGTTTAAAATAAATTGTGGAAAAATACATCAAAGTTCGACGTGCGGGCATACAAAGACATTTCTCCCTTTGGTGCTGTCAGTGGAAGGATCGTTCAAAGAAAGACTGACGCAATATTTTAAGAC